AGAACCACTGCTCTAGTTTCAGAGTTTTGCACACATCAATAGGATCCAAGGCTATTATTTTGGAAGTAATGGTAGATAAAAGTGACTCCTTGGAGCAAAGGTCAGCAGATAAGACTGAAGCAACTTAGAGGCTTCTGAGCCACTGGCCAGATCAGATACTAAATCATAAGTAAAGTTCACTTTTTAAGTTAAAAAAAAAATAAATAAAAAAATATATGCACATATTTTTGCTGGTATGAGGCAAATCCTGAGGTTCTCATGAAACCCAAATAACTGGTAGCAGATGAGGATCAGTTGGCTGGAGGCGACTAGTCACTGTAAGCAATTAGCAGGAACAGACAGGATTGCAGTTTACTGTGGCTCTCTGCAAGCAGGAGTCTGGAGATGCCTAATTAGGGTTGTAGGGGAACACTCTACCCAGCAGATGACAGTGCTGTGGACCTAGAAAGTGTTCAGTAGTGAAATTGTTATTAAAACAGAGTCTGAAAAGCACCTTATGGGGAACCAGGTGCCTGAAGGTCATTTTCCCTGCAATGGCCAACCCAGTCAGGTATGCACACATTACTCCAAAAGCCAAGCCAAGGACGGAGGTGCTGGATAGATGCAATTGAAGACAGGAACTCTTAACAACAATGTAGAGAGGAGTGTTGAAGAAAAACTGGTGTCGGGGGGGGGGAAGAAAAAAAAAAAAAAAAAAAAAGGGGGGGGGGGGAGGGGGGGAGATATCTGTTTTGTTCACATAGAGGTAACAGACATCCATCATCCAACACTCACAAATTAAAAAAAGAAAAACTAAACCCACTGGAGGCATGCTGGTAGTAGGAGGGATTATCCTGGGCTGCTCTATTTTTTTTTTTTTTTTTGTTTGCCAGTGTCTAGTCCTCCAATGGACAAGGAAGAAAAAAACTTAAAAAAAAAAAACACGCAGTTCAGGAGGAAGGCAGTTCTGACCACCACTACGTACGTAGGTCTTCCAGTGTGTCCTGCTGGATCAGATAAACAGATGACCAAATGGTGTAACAACATCGTGGAACCTCTTAGATAGGCTTGAGAGAAGTCTGTTGACCAACCCAATGGGTCAACCATAGGAGTTTGAAAGCAGACACAGCCATTCTATTAAGAACTGGACCATAAAAAGGCAAGATAAAAACCACCTGGCCTGATATACAGTCTTGTTTCTGCCATTTGTATTTTCCATATTCACAAGTTAAACTACTTAGAAGTTTGTTTTCATAGAATACCTAAGCAAACATTATCTTCCTAAAACAAACTGTAATGTTGTGAAAAGGGCACAGATTGCAGGCTAGCTGGTTGAATGAGGGTGGTGTTATAAAGATTGAGAGCTCAAAGTGGGTGCCACCACTAGGATGATGTGCACCAGTTGTCCAAATGACTAGGCAATATAGAGCCTGCATAATCCAAGAAGTGTTCTTGGTCACCCTTCTTAAACTGGAGAGCATTTAATTGTACATCACAGAAGCAAGTGGATTTCATATTCATGACCAATTGAGATTTCCTGCCATCTTCAGCTGAATGGACACTAGTGTCTCTTAAGATCTCCTTTCAGGAGCTTAGTCCCCTAATTTTTGGCCTGTTCTTAAACATCCCCATTGGGAGTAGGGAAGGGTCTCATCAGGATCTGTCTCCCACATTCAGAAGGCCAAGGGCTGTCCCCAGACCTTGCATGCAAGAGTGGTGATGACCTGTGATGATGTTGCCAGCTGCTGCTGGATCCTGCAGATACCAATCTCTAGGGTACAACATATATGGTGATTAACTGGCAGGGTGCTTTCAGGTCCTGACAATGAATTTTGACTTAAGACCAGGTTAGCTGTGGAATGGTGGATAGTTACATGGATGCTGGATACCAAGAAATTCTCCCTTCCAATAAATTGGAAGATCTTTATGGATAGGAGCCTGTTGGGCTGCGGAAAAGTGCTCTAGAGAACCTTTCAAGTTCAGGGAATGTGGTCATCAGGAGGTGCAAAAGTTGCCAAACATTCTGAAATTCAGCTGGCTCTCTCCTACAATGGTCTGTCTGCACCTGATGGGGAGATCCCAAAGGTAGTCAGATAATGCCACAGCTGTAGTATCAGCCATCAAGGACAGAAAAGTTGTGCTGCTCAGGAAGAAGCAGACCTAATCTTGTGTTGGGCTTAGGCTAGGTTCCAGCTTGCTCCACACATTGCTGGGTAGGTCAACTTTCTTAACTGCCAAAAACTAAATCTGGTTTTCACCAAGAGGTGTTCAGAGATTTGTCTGCAGTGGAAGACCACCAGATGTGGATCTCCTGATGTCTAGATTCAACTACAAACTGAGCAGGTTTGTGTCCTGAACCAGGAATGTTTACTTGGGGTCAGTTTTCACAGATATCTACCACAAATGTCTAGTCACACCAGGGCAAAGGTGGAGGGCATTTCAATAATTCTGCACCTGCCTGGGCAAGTAGTATACAGACATTGTAAATATCTTGGTAGACAGGCTGTGTGGTACTTCCATCCTGCTTTATGGTCAATGGTAGCTAAAGCCCCGATTCTGAGGGATATAGCCAGTTTCATGACTCTGCAACCCCTACTCTCCTCCAGGCAATAAAGTCGACCACCAAGTCGAAAGCCGCCAAGGTGTACTAAGGAAAGCCTTTCCCCCCCCCCCCCCCCCTGGCTGGTTTTCAATGTCATAGGGTGCATTTTGACCTTTCTTCAGTCTGGCATGGAGATGTCGCTGGTTTTAAGTACCAATAAGAGACAGATCTCAGCCTCGCCTGTTTTAGAGACCCATTAAGTGTAGAGCTTTTCACCCAGAGTTCATCAGGAGGGGCACTCTCTACATCTGGAGGAAAAGAAACCTTTCATGTTTGGAGACTAAATTTCTTCACAGTAAGAGCTGTGAAAATATGGAATAGACTCCCTCAAGAGTAGGTTCTGGACAGTTTCCATGGATTGCTTTAAAAAAAAAAAAAAAAAAAGTCCTGGATTCTTTCTTGGATACACATTTGTATATAGAAGAGCAGAATATAACTGGATACTAACATTTATAGGTAAAGGTGATCAAGGGATTATCAGATTGCCTCTCGTGGGATCAGGAAGGAATTTTTTCCCCTGCAGGAGCAAATTGGATCACGCTTTGCTGTTTTTTTTTTTTTTTTGCCTTCCTCTGGATCAACTGTGGGTGTAGGGTTTATAACTTTTTTTTAAAATGGTTGAACTGGATGGACTGTCTTTTTTCAGCCAGATGATGTAACTATTAAGGTTCCTCAGACAAGATGGCAGCAAGAATGAGACTTAACTTGGTTTTGTCCTTTTTTGCATTCTTGCCCTTTTAAACCTCCAAGAGATTCCCTTGTTGCTTCTTACACACTAGGCTCTTTTTGGCTGCAATTACCTCAGCTCAAGATGGTTTTGGGAGTTGGCTGCCCTTTCCGTCAAGAAAGCTTTCCTGGTTCTGTGTTGAGGCATCAGTCCTGCGTTACCCAGAAGGGCTTCTTGATCTCACCAGAAGGGCTTCTCTTTGATCTCACCAGAAGGGCTTCTTGATCTCACAGAAGGGCTTCCTGATCTCACCAGAAGGGCTTCCTGATCTCACCAGAAGGGCTTCCTGATCTCACCAGAAGGGCTTCCTGATCTCACCAGAAGGGCTTCCTGATCTCACCAGAAGGGCTTCCTGATCTCACCAGAAGGGCTTCCTGATCTCACCAGAAGGGCTTCCTGATCTCACCAGAAGGGCTTCCTGATCTCACCAGAAGGGCTTCCTGATCTCACCAGAAGGGCTTCCTGATCTCACCAGAAGGCTTCCTGATCTCACCAGAAGGGCTTCCTGATCTCACCAGAATTCTGGCCAGAATTGGCCATTGTTGCCATCTTTTTGCCCTGATCATCCTGAAGGAGAAGGTGCTACACTCTTTGGATGAGGCTTAAGATGATCCAAGTCTACAGTCTGAAGACCACTGGAGAACCGGTCAGTGTTTTAGATCTAACCATAGTAGGCCTACAGTTGACCATGTGAAGCTTGCTGAAAGCCAGGCAAATACTGAAATCTTGCACAAACTGGTACCCGTGCGCGCAAGGCCTCGGTTTTCTTCCAACACCGGACCCAATTAAAAATTTGTATGCAGCCATAAAACCACAGGTCAAGTATCACAATTTATTGATAGATACAAGTATATAAAATCAGGGCATGAACATGACTTGATAAATTAAGTAGACTTAATTTCAATACTATAATAAGGAGGACCAATTCATTTGCTCACCATTTTAAGCATCACACCCACAAATAACCACGTATCTCAGGGTAGCCATCAATCTCTCAAAACTGAGCAGGTTTTTTTTTTTGTGCAAGTAAAATTTTTTTTTCTTTTTTTTTTTTTTTTTATAACTGTTTTTAAAGACTTGTGCACTTGCCCAGGCTCAAAGATATTAGAATCTAGCACAAAAAAAAAAAAAAAGCCCATTACTAGAGGTAGAAGTACAGGCAATATACATACTATTACGGTAACATCCATGAATTACAGTTAAAGGATTTTCTGTAACAACCAAATTGAAAATCAGATATTGCAACAAGTCAAGTATTACACTGAGCAAAGTGCATCTCTACAGTATTCTTCAGTGTTGCTAAATCAGTTTATTTTTTGTTTCTTTTTTTCCTCCTATATGGCCCAGAAAAGGTTACATTTCGGCAGCTCTAGAAGTCCTCGCCAGAGACCGTGTGTGTGTGTGTTTTTTTAGTTTTTGAGAACCCGGGATGTAATTATTGCATGCTGCTAATACACAGATCTAAACATTACAGATACTCTAAAAATATTGCATGGCTGACTATGATTAAGACATTACACTTAAAAACCTCTCTTCGTTTAGAGCAGAAGGAATCCTAAATAGACATGCCTCTGCATTTACAGATTTTGCGAAAATGTTACAGTGGAATGGATTTTCGCAGTGGTTAGGTCAAACGTGATTTAATTCATAGCAACAGTGTGTCTGCACAACATTAAGGCTTTGGCTGGTTCTTTAGTCTGCTTCCTCTTCTGATTCCTCTTCTTCAGCCGTCTCCAGCCAGGTTAGCCATTGGTTCACCTGCAAAGAGATAAAAACACAGTTACACCACATCTAACAGGCGGGGCTCTGCGGCTGTGAACGAATAGTCATTTCGTAATTGAATGCTATTGAAAAAAAATGCCCTGTCCCTTTTAATCTTACATAGTCTTTTTTTTCAGCCAAAGTTAGTCTGGCTGAAAAAAAAAAGGACTAAGTTAGACAAAATTTTTTTCGGGCTTTTAACTTTATATCTATCTATCTATCTATCTATCTAGAGATAGATAGATAGATAGATAGATCTATCTCTAGATAGATAGATAGATAGATAGATAGATAGATCTATCTCTAGATAGATAGATAGATAGATAGATAGATAGATCTATCTCTAGATAGATAGATAGATAGATAGATAGATAGATCTATCTCTAGATAGATAGATAGATAGATAGATAGATAGATCTATCTCTAGATAGATAGATAGATAGATAGATAGATAGATCTATCTCTAGATAGATAGATAGATAGATAGATAGATAGATCTATCTCTAGATAGATAGATAAGATAGATAGATAGATCTATCTATAGATAGATAGATAGATAGATAGATAGATCTATCTCTAGATAGATAGATAGATAGATAGATAGATCTATCTCTAGATAGATAGATAGATAGATAGATAGATCTATCTCTAGATAGATAGATAGATAGATAGATAGATCTATCTCTAGATAGATAGATAGATAGATAGATAGATCTATCTCTAGATAGATAGATAGATAGATAGATAGATCTATCTCTAGATAGATAGATAGATAGATAGATAGATCTATCTCTAGATAGATAGATAGATAGATAGATAGATCTATCTCTAGATAGATAGATAGATAGATAGATAGATCTATCTCTAGATAGATAGATAGATAGATAGATAGATCTATCTAGAGATAGATAGATAGATCTATCTAGAGATAGATCTATCTATCTATCTAGAGATTAGATCTTTCTATCTATCTATCTAGAGATAGATCTATCTATCTATCTATCTAGAGATAGATCTATCTATCTATCTATCTATCTAGAGATAGATCTATCTATCTAGAGATAGATCTATCTATCTAGAGATAGATCTATCTATCTAGAGATAGATCTATCTATCTAGAGATAGATCTATCTATCTAGAGATAGATCTATCTATCTAGAGATAGATCTATCTATCTAGAGATAGATCTATCTATCTAGAGATAGATCTATCTATCTAGAGATAGATCTATCTATCTAGAGATAGATCTATCTATCTAGAGATAGATCTATCTATCTAGAGATAGATCTATCTATCTAGAGATAGATCTATCTATCTAGAGATAGATCTATCTATCTAGAGATAGATCTATCTATCTAGAGATAGATCTATCTATCTAGAGATAGATCTATCTATCTAGAGATAGATCTATCTATCTATCTATCTAGAGATAGATCTATCTATCTATCTATCTAGAGATAGATCTATCTATCTATCTATCTAGAGATAGATCTATCTATCTATCTATCTAGAGATAGATCTATCTATCTATCTATCTAGAGATAGATCTATCTATCTATCTATCTAGAGATAGATCTATCTATCTATCTATCTAGAGATAGATCTATCTATCTATCTATCTAGAGATAGATCTATCTATCTATCTAGAGATAGATCTATCTATCTATCTAGAGATAGATCTATCTATCTATCTATCTAGAGATAGATCTATCTATCTATCTATCTAGAGATAGATCTATCTATCTATCTATCTAGAGATAGATCTATCTATCTATCTATCTATCTAGAGATAGATCTATCTATCTATCTATCTATCTATCTATCTAGAGATAGATCTATCTATCTATCTATCTAGAGATAGATCTATCTATCTATCTATCTATCTAGAGATAGATCTATCTATCTATCTATCTATCTAGAGATAGATCTATCTATCTATCTATCTAGAGATAGATCTATCTATCTATCTATCTAGAGATAGATCTATCTATCTATCTAGAGATAGATCTATCTATCTATCTAGAGATAGATCTATCTATCTATCTAGAGATAGATCTATCTATCTATCTAGAGATAGATCTATCTATCGATAAAAAAAATCTGCGCATGAGACATGACCTGCAAGAGAAAAAAAAAAAAAAAAAAAAAGGGGGGTGAGGAGGAGGAGGAGGAGATGGAAGGAGGAGATGGAAGAGGAAGAGGAGGAGATGGAAGAGGAAGAGGAAGAGGAAGGAGGAGGAAGAGGAAGAGGAAGAGGAAGACGAGGAAATGGAAGAGGAGGAGGAAGACGAGGAAATGGAAGAGGAGGAGGGGAAGACGAGGAAATGGAAGAGGAGGAGGAAGACGAGGAAATGGAAGAGGTAGAGGAGAGTCATTAGACGAGAAATGGAAGAGGAGGAGAAGGAGCAGAGAGGAGGATGGAGGAGGAGGAGGAGGAGGAGGAGGAGGAGGAGGAGGAGGAGGAAGAGGAGGAGGAGGAAGGAGGAGGAGGAGGAAGAGAGGAAGAGGAGAGGAGATGGGAAGAGGAGGAGAAGGAGGAGATGGAAGAGGAGGAGAAGAAGAAGGAGATGGAAGAGGAAGAGGAGGAGAAGAAGGAGATGGAAGAGGAGGAGAAGAAGGGAGATGGAAGGAAGAGGAGGAGAAGAAGGAGATGGAGAGGAGGAGGAGGAAGAGGAGGAGGAGGGAAGAGGAGGTGATGGAAGAGGAGAAGGAGAAGGAGAAGGATTTGGAGGCGGGAGGATTCCAGTCTGCTATTATATATTTTATATGAAAAAGTCTTGCGGATGCAAGTGTATCCATCTGTATCCGAAATAGATACATTGTTGCAACCGCAAGACTTTCATGTAAAATATAATAGCGGAGCGCTCTGCAAGGGACAGAAGTAATTATGGGGTTAAATGCCGGCTGTAGACGGGGACGAAAATCGGACCGAATTTTTTACCATTCGTGGTAACGTCGGCCAATTCGAATGACTGATTTTTTGGGGGTTTTTTCTTCTAAAAACGGCTGGTTTTCGAACCGTCTATGGCCTGCATAAGGCTTTGTCCTCCACTCCCATTAAGGATTGGCACCTTTGGGATGCAGAAGGGAGGAAGTACCTGAATTTGACAGGTACCCGTTCCCAATTGAACCATTGCTCTGCCCTGGATAAAAAGCTATATCAAGTATTAGCTATACACCACTAAACAAACATCACTTTACCTGGAATAAAGCTTTTCCTTTTCCTGGAAACTCTTGTGTAATATCTTCCTTCCATGCCAAGAAAGCTTCTTCTTCTATTATCTCCATGTCATAGAAATGGACAAAGAAGCGGAGCAACAAATGCCTGTAAGGGAATGTACATCCAAGTGTCAGAACAGACATGGCCGCCATAGAGAAACAAAAAGAAGGCGGAGCATGCAGCAAGTGGCAGTTTGTACCTTTAGGGAAGAAGGGAGGTAGCAGTGCACCTGGAGTGCATACAAGGGGGCGCTGACTTGCAGGTCAACATTGGTCATGGAGGAAACTTCTGCATCACCGGCTTGAAAGACAGCAACAGCTGCTTCTCCTGCTCCAGCTGCTCTTTAGATGGTGCTGCCGACTGGTCAGCATCTTCCGTTGGGCAAACCTCATTAGAAATATACTGTAAAAGCTGCAAGACACAAATGTTTCAAAAAAAAAAAAAAAAAAAACAAAAAAAAAAAAAAAAAAAAAGTATTAGTATTAAAAAAAAACAAAAAAAAAAACAATACAAAAGCTTGCAGAGACCATCTGTAATCCAATTCTTGAACACATAAAATCCCAATTGTTGGTTCTCCTAATCCCTTGGCGCGGGAACGGCGCTCCCGGGCGATTTAAGAGTTTCAGAAGCCGGGAAGGGGGGCGGGGTTTAGGGTCTGTGTGACCGCTGCGACACGTCTTGGGAGAAATGATCAGGGGAAGGGTCGTTTCGAAAAGGAGAGGTGATCGGGCCTTCGGGGGTGCAGGGTTTAGGGTTTTTTTTTTTTTTTTTTTTTAAATAGAGACGGCAAATGTCGTGAGTGCAGGCTTGGGAGGTGCGAAAAAGACGCGAGGGGGTGGGGGAGGTGGGGCTGGGACGCATGTACGACTCGACAGTTGCCATCAGAAAAAAAATAAAAGGAAAGGGGTCCCAATCGAAAGAGGAGATCGGGACCTTTCCGTGAGTACCGGACATGTGTGCTGGGAGCGCTCTCAGCAAGTTTTTTTTTTTTTTTTTTTTTAAATAGAACGCAAATGTGTGGCCGCTTGGCGTCTAGGACCTTTTCCGTTCGGGCCGGCGCCAAGAGGTTAAAGGTCCATTTATCTTCCGTGCTTTTGCTTGCAAAGGTAAGTGCATCTAACAAGATCAGTCCTGTGCACATTAGTACGGCTCGGAATGTTACCACCAGCACAAAAAGGAATAGGAGCAAAAGCAGGAATGGGGAGGATGCCTAACAGAGAGTCAGCGTGGGCAGCTTCCATCTGAGGTTTCCAATAGATATGTGAAGGTATTTTTGCCTCCCCGGTTCCTCCTTTCCCCTCATGTTAAGGAAATTAAAAAACACATTTCTGTCTTCATTACACATTTTATCTTTAGGCCCAGTGACATCATGGAGTCACTGTGCTTCTCTATGCAATGCAGGGAAATCATGGCTGGTAGAGCACTGTACTTAGTTTCCTGAAAACAGAAGAAGTGGTGGTAATGCCCACATATGGCACTGACCCTTCATAGACTGAAATCCAATGTATGAGATGTGGGCTAGAGGAAAAGGGCTGGGGGGGAGGGAGGGAGGAGGAAAAAAAGGCTGGGGGGGGAGGGAGGGAGGAGGAGGGAGAAAGGCTGGGGGAGGGAGGGGGGAGGGAAAAAAGGCTGGGGGAGGGAGGGGAGGAGGAAAAAAGGTGGGGGGGGGGGAGGAGGAGAAAAAAGGCTGGGGGGGATGGAGGGGGGAGGGATTGGGAGGAGGAAAAAAGGATGGGGAAGGGAGGGAGGGGAGGAGGAAAAAAGGCTGGGGGAGGGATGGGAGGGAGGGGAGGAGAGGAAAAAAAAAGGCTGGGGGAGGGGAGGGAGCGAGGAAAAAAGGCGGGGGGAGGAGGAGGCTTGGTCAAGGCTGGGGGGGGAGGGGGGAGGGAGGGGGCCTGAAACAAAGGATGGGGGACAGGGGAGGGAGGGAGGGGGGGAGGGATGGGGGAGGGGGGAGGGGGGAGGAAAAAATAGGGGGGGGGAGGGAGAGAGGGAGGGAGGAGGGGAGGAAAAGGGAGGGGGATGGGAGGAGGGAGGGAAAAAGGCTGGGGGGAGGGTGGGAGGATGGAAAAAAGGCGGGGCGAGGGAGGGTCGGGAGGGGAAAAAGGCTGGGGGGGAATGGGAGGGAGGAGGGAAAAAGGCTGGGGGGAGGGAGGGAGGGAGGGGGGATGGGCTGAGGGAGAGGGAGGGGGGCTGGGGGGGAGGAGGAGGAAAAAAGGCTGGGGGCGGAGGGAAGGGAGGGAGAGGAGGAGGAGGGGAAAGAAAAGGCTGGGGGAGGGTAGGGAGGAGGAAAAGGCTGTGGGGGAGGGGGGAGGAGGGAGGAAGGGAAAAAAGTCTGGGGGAGGGAGGAGGAAAAAAAGGTGGGGGAGGGTAGGGGAGGGAGAGGAAAAAAGGCTGGGGATCGGGAGGATTCGAGGAAAAAGGCTGGGGGAGGGGGGAGGGGGGGGGGTAAAAAAGGTGGGGGAGGGGGGAGGAAAAAAAGGTTGGGGGGGAGGGGGGAGGAAAAAAGGTTGGGGGGAGGGGCGAGGAAAAAAGGTTGGGGGAGGGGAGGAAAAAAAGGTTGGGGGAGGGGGGAGGAAAAAAGGTTGGGGGAGGGGGGGAGGAAAAAAGGGGGGGGAGTAGGGGGAGGAAAAAAGGCTGGGGGGAGGGAGGGGGGTTTTACTATGATACAATGCGAGGTTTCTACATGTTGTCACTTCTTAATAAGTGGTCTATACTGCACTCAGAGGTGCTTCTTCAAGAAATCAGATGGGGACTATCTTGCTGCAGCTTCTAATGCACATTGTGAGCAGCAGCAGCAGTGTGCAGTGAAAGAAAAGAAAAGTTACAAGACTCATGTTCTGAAAGCGGAGCTCCACCCAAAAGGGGAAGTTCCGCTTTCAGTCTTGGGAGTCGTGCTTTGTAACTGTCAGTTTTGCAATGCCTCATGGGACTTGTAGTTCAACAGCTGGAGGGGCCACAGATGCCCACCCCTGTCCTAAAGCTCTTGAGCTGCGGGGTCTAAAAGGTTCGGTAAGCGGCTCCATTTGTATAAGGTTGGCTGGTGCACATATAGAGAGGAATTTGTATTTACGTTGAACTTGTTTGGCTATTGGAGGGACTATTTTTCTTCATAAAGAATGCATAAATCCTCAGTCTGACAAGCCCCTTCCTACGCCATAAAAAGGACTGCGTGTTCCCCTCCCCCCCCATAGCAGCCGAACCACCATCCCATGAACGAGACCCCTAGAAAAAGACGCCGCATGATATCCTCACCTGGGTCATCAAAATATTCACAAATCCTTTATCTACATGAAGTTTCGGAGAGATGTTATCCTTGATCCACTTGTAGATGGTCTGTGGAGAAGGATCCATCTTTATCTGTTTAAGTAACTCTTTCTCCAGTTTCATCAGCGGAAACAAGAAGCTCAGTCCTTTCCCTTCCAGGATCTCCAGCATGCGGTCTTTGTTCTGGTCGATTTCTATTAGAGAGCAAAATATTGGCGATTAGGCAAATCCTGAGAGAAACGGACACTTGCAATGGGTTTGTCCGGTCATCAAAAGGCAGCCCCTTACCTGGTAACATCTTCTGCATGTTGACTTTGCTCTGCTGGAAGAGATCGGTCAGCCATTCTTTGTCCTTTAGTTTGGCCAGCTGCTGCAGACAGAGCAGGAACAGAGGGAATTGGGTGCCGTTCTCCAGAGGCTGGGCCAGTTCAGAAATGCTCACCAGCTCTGCTATTATGGCACGGGCTGCGAATTGTGCCAGGTAGGATTTCACCAGAGGTATGTCTACCTCTAGCTTGGGGCCCTGGTCCAGCACAGTCAAGAAAGCCTAAACACAAAAAAATGGCAATAAATACAAAAAATGGCAATAAATACAAATACAAAACCCACCACAAAAACCCCGAACACACATCAAAAACCCCAAACACCCTAAAAAAAAAAGAAACCCCCCCCCGAAAAAAAAACAAAACAAAAACCCCGAACACACAAGAACCCTAAAAAAGAAAAAAAACAAAACAAAAAACAAAAAAAAAAACCAAACACAAAAAACCCCCCAAAACACCCAACACCCTAAAAAAAGAAAAGCCCCAAAAAACCGAAACCCCCCCCCCCCCAAAACCAAACCCCCAAAAAAAAGAAGAACACACCCACAACACCCAAAAAACCCTAAAAAAAAAAAAAAAAAAAACCCAAAAACACCCCGAAACACACAAAAACCCAACAAATAAGCCTGAAAAAGAAAAAAAAAACCCAAAAACCCCTAAAAGAAAACCCAAAAAAATAACCCTGAAAAAAAAAACCCCAAAAACCCCGAACCCCCAAAAACCCAAAAAAAGAGAAAAGAAAACAACCCCAAAAAACCAAAAAAGAAAAAAAAAAACCAAAACACCCAAAAACCTGAAAAAAAAAAAAAAAAAACCCCAAAAACCCCAAAAAAGAAGAAAAACACACCACAACACCCAAAAACCCTAAAAAAAAAAAGAAAAAAAAAAAAAAACCAAAAAAAAACCCAAAATAACCCTGAAAAAGAAAAAAAAAACCCCCAAAAACCCAAAATAACCCTGAAAAAGAAAAAAAAAAAACAAAAACCTAAAAAAAAAAAAAAAAAAAAAAAAGAAAAAACCACCCAAAAACCCCAAACCCAAACCCCCCCCCCCCCCCAAAAAAAACACAAACACCACAACACCCAAAAAACCCTAAAAAAAAAAAAAAACCAAAAAACCCCGAACACACAAAAAACCCCAAAATAAGCCTAAAAAGAAAAAAAAAAAAAAACCCAAAACACCCCAAAAACCCTAAAAAAGAAAAAAAAAAAAAACCCCGAAGACCCAAAAAACCCTGAAGAAAAAAAAAAAACCAAAAAACCCAAAAAAAAAAAAACACCACAACCCCAACACCCTAAAAAAAAAAAAAAAAAACCCCAAAATAACCCTGAAAAAGAAAAAAAAAACACCAAAAAAGAAAAAAAAAACCCAAAAACCCCCGAACACCCAAATAACCCCGAAAAAACCAAAAAACCCAAAAACCCCAAAAAAGAAAAAAAAAAAACCAAAAACCCTAAGAAGAAACACGCCACAACACCCAAAACCCTAAAAAAGAAAACCCCCCAAACACCAAACCCCCCCCCCCCCCAAAACCAAACACCAAACACCCAAAAACCCTAAAAAAAAAAAAGAAAAAAAAAAAAAAAAAACACCCAAAAACACCAAACCCCCCCCCCCCCAAAAAAACAAACAAACACACAACACCCAAAAACCCTAAAAAAAGAAAAAACCAAAAACCCCAAACACACAAAAACCAAGCCACACACAAGTCAAGATTTTGCACTCAACCAGATTGAAGCAATATACCTGCATGAAGTTGTCACTCGTGGCCACTCCCTCTTGACGCAATATACCAATCAGTGCACTGGCGCGCTCCTTGTCTTCGTCAGAGCGGTCCAGGGATTGCAGGACGATCCGGCTAATCATTTCCGGGATGAAGTGTTTAGGAGCTCTCATTTCTTTCACGCTGTTTATGGCATCTGCCGCGTTACCGTTATTCAAGTAGTCAGTCACAAATGCTTCCTGAAATTCAGAGCGATCCATTAAGAAATCACGGCACACACGTGACAGGTCCCAGAACACTACAGGACCATTCATGACGCGCAGAGCTACTCGCACATGTGCAGTGGGTACCCGGCTGTGAAGACGCAAGCTGTCACAGCTGGGTGCCCACACTGAAGGTGCCGGCATGTGAAACGGGCTGCGGGGGACACACACGAGGGACAGGTAAGTGGCTGTTTAAAAATCAGCAGTTACAGTTTTAGTAGCTGCTGACTATTTGTGAGGGGAACTCCGCTTTAAGATCGCTCCGCTGGGTTCATTGAATGGGAGTGGGAAGGTCACATAACTTGCCTTGTCTATAATCCAAAAAACAAAACCGAGAACTTCCAGGACCGAATGCGGGCTCTTCAGCGCAGCCTGTATTTTTTTTTCATGGGCTGCAAAATGCAGGTTGCAGTATAGGTTTAGGATGGTCATAGATGGATCAATCCCAGCCAGTTCAGCAGGGACCGGACAAAATTTGATCCATCTATTGGAAGGCTGGTTGTACGGAAGTCCATCCATCAAATGACTTCAGTACTACCAGCCTGGTAAAAAAAAAAATGTTTTGCATGCGATTACTGCCAGCAGTAATCATTGTGTTCTGCCAGAAGGGAAGGCTCCCAGATGGCAAAAACACAATGGCACTGTAGGAGAGATTGCCCCATCATCAACACAGTCGAAAGGAGAAAGAGGAGGAAGGAAGGAGAGGAAGGAGAGAGAGGAAGGAGGAGGAAGGAGAGAGAGGAAGGAGAGAAGGAAGGAAGGAGGAGGAAGGAAGGAGAAGAAGGAGAAGAAGGAAGGAAGGAAGGGAGGAGAAGAAGGAAGGAAGGAAGGAGGAGGAAGGAAGGGAGGAGAAGAAGGAAGGAAGGGAGGAGGAGAAGAAGGAAGGAAGGAAGGAAGGAAGGAAGGGAGAGGAAGGAGGAGGAAGAAGAAGGAGGAAGGGAGGAGAAGAAGGAAGGAGAAGAGAGGAAGAAGGAAGGAAGAAGGAAGGAAGAAGAAGAAGGAAGGAAGGAAGGGAAGGAAGGAGAAGAAGGAAGGAAGGAGAGGAAGGAAGGGAGGAAGGAAGGAGGGAGGGAGAAGAAGGAAGGAAGGAAGGAAGGAGAAGAAGGAAGGAAGGAAGGAAGGGAGAAGAAGGAAGAAGGAAGGAGGAGAAGAAGAAGGAGGAAGGAAGGAAGGAAGGAGAAGGAAGGAAGGAAGGAAGGAAGGAGAAGAAGGGGAGAAGGAAGGAAGAAGGAAGGAAGGAAGGGAGAAGAAGGGAAGGAAGGAAGGGAGGAGAAGGAAGGAAGGAAGGGAGGAGAAGGAAGGAAGGAAGGGAGGAGAAGGAAGGAAGGAAGGAAGGAGGAAGGAAGGAAGGAAGGAAGGAAAGGGAAGAAGGAGGAAGGAAGGGAGAAGAAGAAGGAAGGAAGGGAGGAGAGGAGAAAGAAGGAAGGAAGGGAGGAGAAGAAGAAGGAAGGAAGGGAGGAGAAGAAGAAGGAAGGAAGGGAGGAGAAGAAGAAGGAAGGAAGGGAGGAGAAGAAGAAGAAGGAAGGAAGGAGGAGAAGAGAAGAAGGAAGGAAGGGAGGAGAAGAAGAAGGAAGGAAGGGAGGGAGAAGAAGAAGGAAGGAAGGGAGGAGAAGAAGAAGGAAGGAAGGGAGGAGAAGAAGAAGGAAGGAAGGGAGGAGAAGAAGGGAGGAGAAGAAAAAAAAAGGTCAAAATTGAGTAATTTCAGATAACAGCTTACAGTAAGTTTAAGCAGCTCTTCCTTTGATGGTGGAGGCTTCTTCACACTCTTGGCAGGTTTCTCTTGGATGGGAGGTGGGTTGGTTTTTAGGCCAAGCTGTGGTGTCTGGAGAAGAAGAAATAAGTTAGTAACTCTAAAAAACAAACAAAACAAAACCAAAACACCAAAAAGCACATAGAAAGAAAAAGCTTTAGGCCTTCTCACCTGTCCCATGGGTGGTGTCTGGGTGCGAGGTGGCATCATGCTCATCTGAGGCTGGAGCTTTGGCACTTGCGTCTTGTTCATTAGAAAAGACTGAGCTGGTCTCAGGCTTATCTGGGGGGAGGATAAGAGAAATGAAAGGTTAACCCCACAGAGAAGGGAAATGCTCCGGGAATCCTGTCTAAGGAATAATCACAGCCCTCATATCTCATAATCGTGCTCAGTGGACGCTGGTCACTATGAAAAAGGGAGACAGAAGGTAAAGATCGGGATGAAGGGAGGAGAAAGTGAAAAGGAGGAAATGAGGAGGAGGGGGGAAGAAGTAGTGTCCAGCCACAAGTCCTCGTAATAACGCGTCATTTCTTAATCATCGGGTGACAACGAGAAGCAGCCTCCCCTCTGGCGGGACGTACCTCGTCTGCATTAAGCTGGCCTTTTTTAATAAACCGAGGAGGCATATCCTTTGACTGCCCTTGTTGCGATAAGAGCCCCTGACTCTGGAACATCTGGCCTTGCCCCTTTTAGAAAAAAAAAAAAAAAAAAAATTGAGATAAAGATTAGACATCAGCTACCAGAACATTCCATCAACTTTTTCTAGAAAATTGCCAATTCCCAGCAGGCCTGTTGCTGCCGCTTTCCTAAAAGAGGAAATATTTTGAATGCAACTTAGAAGTGTTACTAAACTCCGGACCCGGCACCCGCTCCATCCCCCCCCCCCGGCACCCGCTCTCCCCCCAGCATCCGCTCTCCCCCCGGCATCCGCTCTCCCCCCAGCATCCGCTCTCAGGGTTCAGCCAAGCACTGGTTAATCTTGCAGAAGTTTACATTCTCCTCTGACTGTCCTATGAGGCTACATGACCCCTGACCCTCTGTCTGGTTTTAGTGTCATGCGACTGCCGTGAGTACAGAACGTGTGTGCTGGGAGCGCGCTCTCAGCGCGTGGTTTTTTTTTTTTTTAATAGACTGCAAATGTTCGGCTGTTTGGCGTCTAGGCCCAGACCCCGGGAGGCTGCACATTTGCGTTCGGCTGGCGCCAAGAGGTTAAGCTAGAACAGGGGTCTCTAAACTTTCCAAAGGACTAGTTTACTGGCCTTCAGTCTTCATGGGGGCTGGACTGTGGCCATTGGGACTGGCGTCCATGGGAGAGTGAACCATGCATCTTTGGTATTAGGGGGAGGGAATAGTGTCCCATCGTTGGGGTCCGTAGGATGAACAATGCCCATAGCAGGAATTATGCCCAGTTATTGGTGTCAGTGGGAGGAAATACCGCCCCAGCAGGGTAAAGGTAAGCAAGGGGCTGCAGTTTGGAGACCACTGAGCTAAAACTACAAATAGCTAGTCCATATTTCTTCCATTATAGCACAGTAACACTCGACAGAGAAGCATTCATGGTGAGACAAGGAGAAAATTGGATCATGCTTTACTGGTTTTATTTTTGCCTTCCTCTGGAAGAACTGTGGGTGTAGGATAACTTCCCCCCCCCCCCCCCCCCCATGGTTGAACTGGATGGACTTTTGTCTTTTTTCAGCCAGACTAACTATGTACAAGATCTTCTTTATTTATACCCAGTGTCGGTTCTTTGTGCCAACTAGCAGGACTGCCTAAAACAGCGGTTCTCAACATGTGGGTCGCAACCCCTTTGGGGGGCCGAACAACCCTTTCACAGGGGTCACCTAGGACCATCGAAAAACACATTTCCGATGTATAAAGAGCAGCTACTGTGTTGAAAGCAGAAAAGCAGCAGTATTGGAGGTAAAACGACACTTCATGAATTATGATTACTGGGTAAAATAATTTTATGGTTGGGGGTCACCACAACATGAGGAACTGTATTAAAGGGTCGCGGCATCAGGAAGGTTGAGAATCACTGGCCTAAAAGGAGTATTTGAACCAAAATCACTAGGTCCACTGAACCATAGTTGAAACAAAACACAAAAAAAAAAAAAAAAATACATAAAACCTCACCTGGCTTTTCATAAAAGGTTTGCCTCCAATTTCACCAAACTGGGACTGTACAGGAGGTATGATGTGCCCACCATGCCCGTTGAACAACTGGTTTGAACGATGACGTCCCATGGTTGGGGAAAACCTGTCCTGTATAACCCCTGGACCAGTACCAATACCACTGCCTGTAAAAATCAGAAGAGACACGGTTAACATGCAGCATGTACAAATGGGGACTTAACCACTTCCAGTCCGGACACTTTCACCTCCCTTCCTGTTCAGGCCAATTTTCAGCGCTGTCACACTTTGAATGACAATTGCGGTCATGCAACACTGTACCCATGATTTCTTAGCGTATTTTTGAGACAGAAAAAAAAAAAAAAAAAAAAAAAAACCCACACACTTTTGGTGGTATTTATTCACCACTGGGATTTTTATTTTTTGCTATATAAATGAAAAAGTCCAAAAATGTTGAAATAATTTGCAAAATTAAATTTTTTAATTTTCTTCATCATAAATCTTGGCCAAAATTTGTTATCTTTTTAGTAAAAAAAAAAAATAAAATCCCCCCCCCCCCCCCCCACAAGTAGTACTGTCACCATGGTGACACTGTACTGCTAGGGTGACAGTATGTAAAAAAAAAAAAAATAAAAAAAAAATAAAACCATTAATAAAATAAAAATGTGAAATTATTTGTTTATAAACGAATTTGGGATATATATATAAAAAAAGATATATAACCCAAATTCGTTTATAACCAAAAATAATTTCACATTTTTATTTTATTAAATGAATTTGGGTTATATATTATCTTTTTTTATATATATCCCAAATTAGTTTATAACCAAAAATCATTTCACACTTATTTTATTAATGGTTTTTTTTTTTTTTTTTTTAACATACTGTCACCCTTGCAGTACACTGTACTACTTGTGGGGGGGGGGGGGGGCGTGTTTTTTTTTTTTACACGGATTTCTTTTACACCCATAAAAGGCTGTAAAAGCAATAATTTCTCCTCCTCTATGGCTGCATTCTTGCAGCCATTAAGAAATGCTGTGTGAGCTGTGATTGGTCTCAGCTTGTCACATGGTACAAGGTTGTTGTGAATAGCCCTGTACCATGTGACCTCTGTGATCATTGATAGATTTCACACGTAGTAAGCAATGATGTCAGAAGTGACATCTTGCTTACTACTCTGCATGTGACCACCGATTGGCCAATCAGTGATCACATGATCGGGACATCGCACAGAGGTCCCGTACAACGATCTGTGTTCCACCGGATTGCGGTGCTGCGCGCTCCCTGGGAAGCTGGAAAATGCAGGCGCCGTTTATGAACGGCAACCCGCCCCTGTACTGCCACCGTCTGGCCGTTTATATACAATGGCCGGACGGCAAGTGGTTAAACAAAAAAAAAACTCATCCACACACAAGGCCGTAAATTACTACAGACCTGGCATCTGTCTAAACATATCAGCAAGTCCTCCAAGTGGGTCCCTGTCAAGCTTCATTCGTGGTGGCATGAACGGCCCTTCCAAAAAGAAGTCAGTTCGCATTCCTTGTGACATTGGAGGAGGAATGAAGACTCCTAGATCCTGGAGAGAAAAAAAAAAAAAAAAAAAAAAATTTAGATATAAAAAGATACTGTACAGAAAATTTCTCCTCCGAGACAGAAATACGCAAAGCATCATCACTCACTTTCACTGCATCTTGGCGGATTTGATTGATAGTCTTTGGTCCATTATCAATGAAAGCTTTGCGAGGAACCCAGCCGTTTTCTCGCAACTCCACAGTATCCTGCAAAGAGGAATCAGATCTCAGGACACTGCTTGGGAACAAAACTCACTTTGTAGCTAGAACAGTAAAAAATGAATGAAACGCCAAAATTCGGAAAACCCCTGGACTCAAATTTAGGCTACTGGATCGGGGGGGAGGGGGTTATGGGTGGATGCAGGGAGATCAAAGAAAATCAAACCACGTTATACTTACCTTGCTCTGGGCAATGCTTTTGCACACAGCAGCCCTGATGCTCTATTTTAGGTTCCCCGCTGGTGGTCCTGGCTCCTTTCCCCTGCCGAGTGCTCCCGATTGCAAACTCACGGCCATGTGAGCCAATAGGGAGGGAGAGATATATGGATGACTGCTGCTCTCATGCACATTGCTGGATCAGAGGGGAGCTGCACCCAGAAGGTTTTATACCTTAATGCATTACAGTAAAAAAAACTTGAGCCATAAGAACCACCTTAACGTACCAATACTGGGTCAACTGTTGGGTCTCCAAACTCCTCAAGCCATGTACTGTATTGCTGTGTGCATGTAGCTCACTACAACCACTATCGCATATTTTTTTATTTTTAAATCTCTTCTCCTCTCCCCCTCCCCCTCTAGAAAAGACACTCATCTGCTAGTCAATACTAAAGTGGAACTTTAGTCAGAAAATGAAGTCTTCCTAGATCACTTCAGTCTGGCTCCTTTTGTAGTACCAGCTATGTAAAGAACATTAAAAATAAGTCCCTTTACTGTTTAACCTCTTCACGCCGGCCGAACGCAAAATGTGCGGCCTCCCGGCATCTGGGCCTAGCAGACATGCTGCGACAAAGCAGCATGTCTGCATTCTAGTGCGGCTCTAGGTTGAGTTGCAAGGTGATTGGGCACATAGGGAGAAAAAAAAAAAAATTGCCCCCCCCCCCCCCCCCCCCCCGTGTCCTTGTGGTGAGAGACATCCTATAAATGCGGTAAAAAACGTTCAAAGTAGAAATCCCAGAAGTTGTAAACACTTACTTGCAGCAGGAAACGAATCCTTGCTGGCAAATCCTTACTAGTCTTCAAGGCGCACATCCGGGCAAAGTACTGATCCATTAAGGACTGCAAAACAGACATTACAATATTAGGATGCATATCCAGCCACAACACTACAGGGTCCTTTTATAAAATGTTTTCACCCAAAATTCACTTTTTTCCCCTTTCTTACCCACCTCCTGTTGTATATAAACGGCCGGACGGTGGCAGTGCAGGGGCGGGTGGCTGTTTATAAAACGGCCTTCCCGCCCCCTGCTTGTGCACGCTCCCTGGGAGCGCGCAGCACCGCAATCCAGTACCCGCTGTGTCCTCCGGACACAGTGGAACACCGATCGTCGTACAGGACCTCTGTGCGAGGTCCCAATCATGTGATCACTGATTGGCCAATCAGTGATCACATGCAGAGTAGTAAGCAAGATGTCACTTCTGACATTGCTTACATGTGAAATCTGTGAATGATCAGAGGTCACATGGTACAGGGCTATTCACAACAACCTTGTACCATGTGACAAGCTGTGACCAATAACAGCTCACACTGTATTTCTCAATGGCTGCAAGAATGCAGCCAGAGAAGGAGAAATGATTGCTTTTACAGCCTTTATGGGTTTAAAAAAAAAAAAAACAAAAAACAAAAATCTTCATCACCCCCCACAAGTAGTACAGTGTCACCATGGTGACACTGTACTGATAGGGTGACAGTATGTAAAATATAAAAAAATTTAAATAAAGTTTAAAAATTATAATTTTTGGTTATAAACTAATTTGGGCTATATTTTTTTTTTACTAAAAAGATAACGGGATTAATTTTGGCCAAGATTTATAATGAAATATTTGCAAAATTTTATAAGAAAAAAAAAAAAAAAAAAAAAAAAAAAACACTTTTCAAAATTTTTGGACTTTCATTTATATAGCAAAAAAAAAAAAAAAAAAAAAAAAAAAAACCCAGTGGTGAATACATACCACCAAAATAAAAAAAAAAAAAAAAAAAAAAAAAAAAAAAAAAAAAAAGTAAAAAATTCATATGGGTACAGTCTTGCATGACCGCGCAATTGTCAAAGTGTGATAGCGCTGAAAGCTGAAAATTGGCCTGGGCAGGAAGGGGGTGAAAGTGTCTGGACTTGAAGTGGTTAATTGGAAAAATGTGTGAATCCTGGCAGAGAGTTGTGCAAGTCTTGTGTGAAAGCATTTATAAAAACAGCCCTATACAAAGTTTTTCAAATGTAAAGAATCCAAAAAGATACCTTGGCTTTTTCGTGGTCTAATCTAGGCCCCACAGTCCTCATTATCTGACAGAGACACTCCAAATCCTCTCCCATGTCTTTAAGCTGGACCCTCTTCTTCTTTTCCAAAAGCTATGAAGTGGAAACAAAAAACACATTGGTAAATATATACTCAAGTGCAAGATCCACATTCCAAGGGCAACTCCAACTCCACTTTTGAGGGGGGGGGGGGGGGGGGGGGAAAAAAAGTTTGTTGCAGGGGATGCCAAGAGTAGTCTTGGTGCAGCCTTCTGGGATTAGCGAGCCAAATCTCACAACCAGGAAATGACATATGGGGGGGGGGGGGGGGGGGGGGGTGTTAGGCATCCCGCACACCATCTGTGGAGAACACCTCCAGGTTGCCATATTGCATTTTTACAGATAATTACCGCAATTTTTACAGAAAATTCAATTACAATATGACTTGCTTTGCAAAATAAAATATATATATATATATATATATATATATACACACACACACATACACACATATACATATACATACACACACATACACTATTTTTTTTCCATTTTTCCCCCATGATAGTGGAGATGCCCTTTAAACCTTAGCATTTTGAGCACGTTGTATGCAACATGTCGACTTTTTTTTGCTTCAGAATATGGTTTGATCTGTATATGCAGAGAAAATATATATATATATATATATATATATATATATATATATATATTTATTTTTTTTTTTTTAATTAGGATAGAGTAGTGAAAGTTAAAACTCAGTTTGTCTCTTTTAGGAGATTTCCCCTCCCTTCCGGTGTCCAAAATAAATAAAGTGAAGCTCCACAGTAAGGATAAAGATACCAATAAAATTGCCAACATAGGCTCCAACCCTCCACAAACTTTCTTCGTACGAATTGGCTTGTCTATATAAAACATCTAAATTCAGTTCAGAATTCAATTTTAAAACCAGGTTGCAAAAAGTACTAAAGACTTTCAGGGTGTCAATACTGGGAAGGCAAAGCAAAAAAAAAAAAAAAAAGAGAGAGCGAAGGCAAAGAGAAAAAAAAAAGACAGAGAGCGAAGGCAAAGAGAAAAAAAAAAAGACCGAGAGCGAAGGCAAAGCAAAAAAGAAGAGCGAAGGCAAAGCAAAAAAGACAGAGAGCGAAGGCAAAGAGAAAAAGAAAAACAAAGACAGAGAGAGCGCGAAGGCAAAGAGAAAAAAAAAAAAAACAGAGAGCGAAGGCAAAGAGAAAAAAAAAAAAAAGACAGAGCGAAGGCAAAGAGAAAAAAAAAAAGACAGAGAAGCGAAGGCAAAGAGAGAAAAAAAAAGACAGAGAGCGAAGGCAAAGAGAAAAAAAAAAGACAGAGAGCGAAGGCAAAGAGAAAAAAAAAAAAAGAGCGAAGGCAAAGAAAAAAAAGGACAGAAGGCAAAGAGAAAAAAAAGACAGAAGGCAAAGAAAAAAAAGACAGAGAAGGGAAAGAAAAAAAGACAGAGAAGGAAAGAAAAAAAGACAAAGAAGGGAAAGAAAAAACAGAAGGGAAAGAAAAGGTTTCCCCAACACAGCCAGCTAATGTACACAGCGATGGCCGCCCTCCCTTGTCCATTTTTGCTTTGCGGAGCCTTTAGGAGGTTATTCTATGTTGCACCTACACCAGATTTCCATTCCACTTACTGTTTTGATGCACTTATGAAGGATAGATTCATGAATAAGGTCAAGCTTGCCAAAGCTCGCCGATAAATTTGATGTTTCCCAGCATCTTAAGCTTAGCAATGGCTCTCTGTTCCTCTTCTTCAGGGAGGAGGGGGCTGTCTCGCTTGTCATATACTGTGTGGAAAAACAAAAAAAAAAACAATCACACCCGTGTACAAGGCTCAGATATTTACCCAGACAGCACCTCTTTGAAACACTTACCCTCAACATTTCTGGATCTGTTCTCAAAACTCATCTTGAAGTTTTTGAAATTAGGAGGCGTCTAAACGTCTGAGGGAAGAGATCATACGTTAAAACCCTGAAGCACGGGAACACTTACACCAGACCACGTCCAGAAAGATGAAATGTGAACTCACTGTGCTTTGCTTCTGCCCTGGTTTTGACCCTCTGGACCATCAAAGTTTGGCGCATCTTCTGCTAATCGCAGACATAGCTGAGCGTTAGAGTGAGCTGTACTTGGCTCTTCGTAGGGCTTTGTCTACAATCTAAAAGACACAATACAGGGAATAAACAATTATTTGGGTTGTACTTTAAAACTGCATTCTCCAATAGCCTGCTTTTATACATTAAATTCTAACAAAGAAAGGGTTGGTGCATCCGGATACAAAGCTTGCAAACCCTCTGCTGTTCTGAAGGACCCTCCTTTCCAGATAGTGAGGCAGCAAATTGTGATGGGACAAACAGGCATGTGTCGAGGCGGCAAGTAGGGGCCAAGTTCCGACCCAACGTGAAGGGCCAGAGCTTTATCAGAAAAGCACGAAAAAATATGGAGATACACCCCATATATGCCAGTACAAGTGCCCGGCCATACTGGTGCGATTTGGGCACGGACGTCACATCTAATGAATGTCGGTGTTCTTAACATTCGCCATTGGCTGCAGCGTGATTTCCAAAGTAGTTCTTGCATTACCTTTTCTGCAGTTTTGGTGCGATTTCACATACAGAGAAGGAAATCGCACTGCAAATTGCAAGAAAGTGTTAAAATAAAAAATAACTTTTTTTGGCTATGTAAAATGAAAATGTCCAAAAATTTAAAAAAAAAAAATAATAATTAAAATAATATTAAAATTAAAATAATATTTCATCATAAATCTTGCCCAAAATTTATTCCGTTTTCTTTAGTAGGGAAAAAAAAAAAAACCCCAAAAAAAAACACCCCATTTAGTTTCTAACCAAAAATTAATCATTTTAAACTTTTTTTTTTTTTTTTTAAATTAGTATTTATGTTTTTTTAACTTTTTTTTTTTTTTTTTTTTTTTTTTTTTTTTTTTACACATACTGTCAACCCTAGCAGTAGTGAGTCACCATGGTGACACTGTACTACTTGTGGGGGGCGATTGTACGGGTGTAAAAAAAATAAATAAATAAATCACCCCCCACAAGTAGTACAGTGTCACCATGGTGACATTACTACTGCTAGGGTTGACATTATGTAAAAAGAAGAAAAAACAAATACTAATATAAAAGTGTAAAAAAAAAAAAAGTTTAAAAAATTGATAATTTTTGGTTAGAAACTAAAAATGGGGTTTTTTTTTTTTTTGTTTTTTTTTACACCCATAAAAAGGCTGTAAAAGCAATCATTTCTCCTCTCTCGCTGCATTCTTGCAGCCATTGAGAAATACTGTGAGAGCTGTAATTGGTCACAGCTTGTCACATGGTACAAGGCTGTTGTGAATAGCCCTGTACCATGTGATCTCTGTGATCATTTAGATTTCACACGTAGTAAGCAATAATGTCAGAAGCGACATCTTTCTTACTATTCTGCATGTGATCACTGATCACATGATCAGGACCTCACACAGAGGTCCCATACAGCGATCGGAGGACACAGCAGGCACCGGATCGCAGTGCTGCGCGCTCCCAGGGAGGGCGCACAAGCAGGGGGCGGGGAGGCCGTTTATAAACGGCTACCCTGCACTGCCTGGCCGTTTATATACAACAGCTGGACGGGAGGTGGTTAAAGTGGCTAAAAGGATAAGTTTCACCTTTACAAGAAAACGCATGCATTTATTTTTTTTAAAAGATTGTGATAGCGAGCAGGGGGAGAAGATCCCTCACTTGCTGTCAAAACAGGGGAATGGGGAGATGCGGAGGCTGGTGCGTCCAACATATTACCCTGAATATGGGTGTAAGAACAGATTTAGGTTTTATCAACACCCCCCCCCCCCCCCCCCCCCCCCCAACACATACAGATGCAAACAGATTAAGCAATCACTTACAAGCAGTATGACTCCTTTGAGGATGAGTTTGGAATCTACACCCACATTAAGGAGCTCAAGGCATAGTTTGTCAAACTTCTCAGGAGCAAGCTTGTTTTAAGATGCTGAAAGAGAAAAAGGTAATTGTTAGAAAATCACAAAGGATGACATAAGACCCCTCCCCCCCACCTAAGTAACAGGTTCATTAGTTCACAGAATCACGGTCACCCGCCGATGGCTCCCAAGCGCTTCCCCAATCTGCTGAACAGCATAAAAACACCCAACAATGCTTACCAACGTTACAGGAGGGCAGACAGATCTGACTCGCTTCTAACATGGTCTCCCCGTACAACAGAACTCATACACGCCCCCCCCAGATGAGAGATTCACAATACTACGAAATTTATTAGGATTTTACCCTCCACTGACACCTGTAGGACTCCAAAGTTGCTGCAACTTTGACACAACTTAGGGATGGGTGCAACTTGGATGGCGATTTGTCCCTCTGCAAAGTAAGACCCACCATTGCACGCAAGGTTAAAAAACAAAAAAAAAAAACCAAAAAAAACTTGCAACTTGAGGGCTAACATTGAAGTCTATGGCCCTCAAGTCACATGAAAGTGGGACCAAAGTAGTGCATTAGCAACTTTTTAGGGTTAACATTGAAGTCTATGGCCCTCAAGTCACGTGAAAGTGGGATCAAAATAGTGCATTAACTACTTTGAAGTCGTTGCAACTTAGTCACATATATATGAATGGTTAGAATTGGAAAACATGGGATACGACTGGTCATGCAACTTTGAGGTCCAAAGTCGCATGAAAAGTTACACAAGTGTGAATGGGGTGTTAAATTTTCCCCCGCATTTGTAAACTTCAGACACTTTTGAAAATCTATGTAAAATGTCTTTTTTCCCACATTTAAGATTTGCCTATGATTGTTTAACCCCTTCACGCCGGCTGCACACATGTGCGGCCTCCCAGTGTCTGGGCCTTGACGCCGAGCGGCCGCACATTTGTGTGCAATTAAGAAAAACATGTGCTGAGCGTGCGTGCCCTGCGCACTCCCAGCACACATTTCCAGTACTCACGGAAAGGTCCCGGTCTCCTCTTTCGATCGAGACCTTTCCCAATCATGTGACCGCCGTGACAGCGAATCACGGCGGTCACATGACCCTAAAAAAACCCGCCCCCGGCTTCTGAAACCCTTAAAGGGCCAGGAGGCGCTGCCACCAAGGGGGTTAAGGAGACCAACAACGTTATGGATAAATCTAAAGATGGATTGGCATTGCCCTGGTAGTTCCCACACGCTCACCCTGCCCTGGTAGTTCCCACACGCTCACCCTGCCCTGGTGCTCCCCTGCCCCGTAGTTCCCACACGCTCACCCTGCCCCGGTAGTTCCCACACGCTCACCCTGCCCCGGTAGTTCCCACACGCTCACCCTGCCCCGGTAGTTCCCACACGCTCACCAACCTCAACCCTGGTGAGTGAACAACGCCTGAGACATAAGTCTTTCCTGTAACCCAACTGTCAATCATACTTGCTGCTTTTGCAACCCACAGCACCAGGGGCAGACTGACAATCCATGGGGCCCCCGGGCAATAGGGGATCATGGGGCCCCTGTGTCCTTGCCCAAACTCAAAAAAGCCTATGAAAAAAAAAAAAAAAAAAAAAGTGTACCAGTGGCATCTCATGGGGGCCCCCTACTGACCCCGGGCTCTCGGGCAGTCCCTGAGTTTCCAAATAGTCAGTCCGCCCCTGCATAGCACACTAAAGGCTCGTTCACACCATGGTGCAGAGAGGGCGCAAAAGAAAAAAAAAAAAAAAAAACTCTCGATGTGCCCTGTTCACACCACAACACAAGTGTCACAGCAAATTTTTTTCTGTGCAGGAATCAGCAACATGTATAAGACTCATTGAAGAGTGCATGAAAACTGCACGTGAAATCTGCATGTCAGTTTTCAGCACATAGTGCGAGCAAGGTCTCAAGAATAGACTTGGGACGGGGTAATAAGGCATTCTTTGTTACTGTTCAATGTAAAACGCATGTTTAGAGGAACCATGTGGAAGCTCAACCCAAGGCTTGGCGTCCCAAGTCTATTCTTAAGACCTTGCTCGCACTATGTGCTGAAAACTGACATGCAGATTTCGCGTGCAGTTTTCATGCACTCTTCAATGAGTCTTATACACGTTGCAGATTCCTGCACAGAAGAAAAAAAAAAAAATAAAAATTTGCTGTGACACTTGTGTTGTGGTGTGAACATATACACACACACGCGCGCGCACACACGCACACACGCACACACTTTTTGTCCTGATCACTTACCCTCTTACTTTCCTAAAGATTGCATCGTGCCGTTCTTTTTCACTTTGCGAGGTGAGCGCAGTGTTGTTGGCGGAGTTATTTGCGGAGTTAACATCTCGTCTAGTGCTTCGTGAAGGAATCCATCTTGGAACGCCAGGCCCTGGGGTTTTCCCCAGGTACTCGCTAACGAAAAAAAAAAGAAAAGAAAAAAACAAACAAAAACAAAAACACAGAAGAGTCAAGACCATGATACAGATACACATTCTATACTTATCCTTCTCTATATTGCCCTGAAGTGGTTTTGTGGGGAATAGTCATTTCTCTAAAATAATCATTTTAAAAAGGATTATGAAATAGACTTTTGGAACAATTCAAAAATTTTCATAAATTTTTCAGGGGAACCAGACAACTATAACAAAAGAATGCGGATGTAGGTCACATGTTTAGCTGCTACAAAATCTGAACTAGTAAAAAACAAAAACAAACCATACAAAAAGGTTGATATAGGTAACTGCACCACTTCTACACAAGTCTTCCTCTTTGG